TTTTCTAAAATAGAGAGAAAGCTCAGGTGAATCAGTCATATAATGAAGTATATAAGGTTACATTGTTTGTTAGCGTATTTATTATATACTCCTTTTCACTCAGAAGCTGAAGAGTGCTCCTCTTTCCATTTTCCAATACTGTACTGGGAAGTAAAACAAAAATCAAAATCCTGAAAAATTGTTTCAGTATTGGCAAGAAAAATGCCTCGAGATATATGTGTAAGTCACCAAACATCTTGACACAGTTCTCTGAATCTGACAAATGCATATAATCATGCCATACAGATACATTCAATACTGTTCTGAAAAAAATATATTCTGAAACAATAACAAAGGATATCATTATACCACAGTTTCGTGAATCACAATCTAGCTCATTGGATGCACTGAAAACACATTTGATGAAACAGACAGTGATCCACATTAGGCTGTACTATAGTATCTATTTTAATCTTGAAGGTTTTGCAAATTCTACAGTGTAACTGAAGGCTCAGTTAATTCCTCCTTTCCAGAAGAAATATTATCATTAAATAGATACAATAAATGTTTAAAGAGAGAAAAAGAAGAAAGCAGGGCTTATTAGTAATGAGAATAAACTAGAGAGAGGGGGGGGGTCAAATGAAGAGTCTGTAATGACCACTTAAAACAGTTTCAAAACACCAGGTTGAAAGCAAAGTTGTTATGATGATTATAGACAATGTAACAACTCACACAACATGAAAGGCGCTCTCAACTCAAATGTTTATGTGCTGAACAGAAGCAGCATAATGGGAAATGAGAGGAGAGAGGGAGGGAATGTTCTGAAAAGCCTTAAACTGACACTGCAAAAGAAGCAGGGTTCCACATCAGATTGCAAGATACATAATTCTACTTGCAGAAGTGAAAAAATGTGAACAGATGAATTCTCAAATGAATAAATATAAAACATATGGTTAAGAATTATAGAAATTAAAATACTTTGGATAATAGTTGAACAAGTCACAAATCCTTGTTTAGAAATTAATGGAAAGTTATACTTTTGAAAATGTAGCATGATTTAGATTTGGGAAAAGAAATAATATTGAAGCCAAAATGATTTGGATGCCTCAGATCTAATAAACTATGGTTTCTCCAGCCCTAATTAAATCTTGCCTGCCTTCTCAATTTTAAATAACTCATCAGAAATTAGGTGCTTCATTAAAGTTCACTATAACACATAATTATAGGATTGCCTGCATCCACTGAATTTTTTTCTGTAGTTTTAAATCCAGCCTCTTGTAGATCACCGTGCAAAAATTACTTTCTAAAGTTACAGATGATTACTGCTTAACTATTACCAGCCTGGAATTGTCTCAGCTATAAAGTTATAAGGAGTTAACAAGGGAAAATGCACCCTTTTGAGTTATTGCTGCTTCCTGGAGAACACACAGAATGTAGCGTACATATTTTAGAGGTGGTGAAACACCACAAATCATGATCACACTTTTTTTCTTCCAAACCAAAGAATATTATCCATCAACCTTCCCTAATTTCAACTGGGTTTGTTTTTGTTAGTTAAACGTATTTAGTCACAGCTGCCAATTATTCATTCATATTGCTGAACAATTTGTAAATGAAGTATAGAATTTATAAACTTATATTAGTTAATTCACATCAATTTGTGGGAGATTAGTTTCTTCAATACTTCTGCTAATTGCTAAAAGCAGAAATGAACTGTAAGGAGAATCATACACACACAAAAATCTGCCAATAAGGCCACCTAACCATTCTGTAAGTATCTATTGGGGGGGAAAAGATATGAACAATAATTGTCTCTCATATTCTTCCAAATACTGTAGTAAATTTGGAAGACATTCACAGACTAACATTTAAGTAATCCTTAAAGATCAGCAGGGACATATCTTCTGTATTATTTTCAGGCAAAGATTACCCATGCTGCAGAGATTTCTATTCCAGAATTAGGGAGGAAGTCACACTGACACTACTGAGAGTATATAAATTATCCAAAACCACTGAGTAATCACACTGCTAAATTACTGCATGGAAGATGACAATAGCTACCAATTACTGTTGCAAATAGTCTATCTACTGCCAATCACTGGTATAAATTATGTTGATGTTATTTTTGTCTTAATAATTGGTTAATAAAATGGCTAATTAATTTTTTATGAAATGGATTGTATTGCTTATTATTACCAGAGTATTTCTTATTGCCATCTATGACATTTAATAATAGAAATCCTTTTCAGTATTCTACTATAATAGTACAAGGTAGCTGTCGGTTAACAAGGACAATTTCCATCACTAAACAACACAGTTGTAAAGTGCGATGTTTCATGACTGAACCACTTAGCAACAGCAGTTCTGCCACTTCCAGTTGCTATAATTAAGCAAATTATTTGGTGTAAGAGAAGGAAAGGCAGAAGCTGGGGACGGAATGAAGAGAAGAATCAGCCTGGAGTTGTTATGTTCCAACACGAGAAGTCCAGCACCTCTTGAATTCCATTAACTCTTATCTAGCATCAATTAGTGCTGATAGTTAACTAGATTCTTCTGCATGGGCCAGAGATGTCAAACTTACAACCTGCGGCCCGGATGTATCACATACTGGCGTGTCTATCCCCATTTTAGTGAAGGGGAAAAAGTCACGATACATTACATGACGTGATGCCATGACTTTGACACTCCTGGCATAGCCAAAGCAATAACCCAGCTTAACTGAAACTTAACACATGGTCCTGATTCTTCACACCTGACACATTGGTGTTGTTAAGCACAATATCATATGATTGCTATTTTTGATCTCTTGCTGGTTTCCCCATGAACTTTTCTTTGTGGAAGTCAGCAATGAAAGTTGCAAATTACAATCTTGTGGCTCCAAGATACTGCAATTTTCTAATTGTGAGTCAATTGCCAAGTGTCCAGATCATGATCATGTGATTACAGGGATGCTACGATAGCTGGAACTTTGGGAACCACTGAATCAGTGTCATCATAACTTCAAATGGTTGTTGAACAAGGGTCATTAAGAAGGATCACACGTAGCAATAATAATATAGAATTAAAGAAAAAGAAACATTGCCTTTTTTAAAGAATGAATAATTTCTTGCAGATTTCTTGAAGAATACTTTCTTGCATTCTAGCTGCAGTTTTGATAGCACTGATCAACACAAATCAATAAATTTTTCAGGGTTACTATTACCTCAGGTAACTGCTTTCATGGAGAGACAATAGGCCCAGACCAGTATGCTGCAAGTTCATTTTATTTATATTTTGTTTTCTAAAAATGCCTCTTAAATATATGTAGGACCAGAAAGATACCCAGAGGCACGATACTGGGAATACTGATCCTAATGCAGAAAAGCTTCTTCTCATTCCTCAATTGTTCATATTTATCCCAATAAATACTAGTTATAGTTTAATCTCTAATTTATAATTATGTGATTATAACCTGAGGTTATCTGGAAAAACTAAAATATCCTCGTCTAATAATCTCACTGTCCATTTAGAACAAATATTTATATATATTTTTAAAAAATGAATTGGGTTAAAACTAGCAGTGTTATGACTATCAGCTAGTCTTTCAATCTTCATTTTTCTTATCCACAATACCTCCTATTTCTACAAATGTGGATCAAAATTATTTTTTCAAACAAGGCAACAGAGACAAGGCAACTGAAACTTAGCATTCTGCTAGCTGGATAAAAAGGAAAGGAAAACAAAACATAACACAGTGGGAAAATGTTCTGCTACATACATTTTAAGGACTGAGGAGAGCATCAAGAATTTAGAAATAAATGGAAGACACTGAAGGACTAATAAGGCTAGGGAGGTTCCGAAGGGTAGGTGCTAAAAATGGCTAGGGAAAACAGAAATAGGCAACATAAATGAGCACTAGTAAGGAATTTGGGAAAGCCAATGAAAAATTGGTGATACAACCTTGAGGTAGGCTGAATATGTATATGTGTAATTTTGGGGATAATGGAGAGGATGGATGTATATACTTTGGAGAGATTAGTTTTTGGGCATTGGTAATAAGAGATCACATTTCTTTATGTACTGAGTATAATTGTTTAGTATTGGAAATGTGAAGCATGTGCATATTTTATAATTCTTACATATTTGAGGAAAATATAGCTTTTATCTGAAATAGTTTTCAGCTAGAAAATTGTGCCTTGGTTTTGTAAACTCACTAGACGGCCTTCTTATATATTTGGTATTTTGCTCAGAGCAGTAAATATTCTCACTACACTAAGCCAAAGGCATTTGTCTTCTGATCTAATATTCCTTTGTTTCTTTAACAGCCTTTGTATGACTTTAACTTTAGCATTTGGGGTGTCTTGATGAGATTTTTAATATATATCTAAACTATCCAATTCTTATTAAAGTACAGATAATATTAGACAGTGCATAGAAAAAAAGGATAAGAATTTGTATAATTATTTATAATGTTTGCAAAATCCTGAATTGTATATCAGTTGGGAGTGAAATGTCACGCTATATGGAAGAAAAAAGAAAAAAAATGTGCATCATTTTTTGCTACAATAGAGTAAAACAGGGGAACAAGTGACTGCTCATAAAACTAATATATTTTTTTTGTTCTCAGTGGTATCTCCAATCATATTGTCTGCCTACTGAAAGTAAAAATAATTGGAAGCTATATAGAAAAAGACAAGTTTCTAAATCAAAAGAAATAAAGAATTTAGAAAATGCAACAAACTATTTCTGGAATATAGATCTGTATAACTTCCTTATACAGCAGTATTCTTTTAAAGTGTTGAAATATATTTCTTTACAGTATTAAATTTTAATATTGTTAAAATTTTAAAATTGTAACCCTCCTATAATACTGTTAATAAACAAGATGGAGAATGTTCGTAGTATCATTGCCAGAAAACTCTGGTTTATATGTAACCCCCAAAAATCATCTTCTTGATTAAGACTTTGTATTATAATTAAGTTATTGAAATATATAATATGAAATAAATATGGCAAAGAATAGGAGGTTATGTTAAAATTACCTTTATAAAATGAGTGGGTAAAGCTCTGTTCAGGTATTAACTTGGCAAGGAATCCATGGTTCAAACTTGGGTGTGGGATAGATGGTATAACCACAACTGTGAAGAAAATCATGGAGTCAATTGTGAGCCAGCTACTTATTGCCGGTAGTTTGGTCCACTGAGGATCCATGACAGAAGTGTTATTGAAACATGCAAACAAGGCACTAATAATTTATCGGGGAGAAATCTAGAAAAATAAAATACTTGCAAATAATACAACATAGAGAGAAAAAACATTTATGGAAAGACAGGTATACATAAATAAGACAGAAACAGTTGGAATACGCTTACGTATGAAACAACATACAAAAAAAAAATACATTATCTGTAACATAGCCACAAATGATAGCTGAATTCTAAGACAAATCTCCTGAAAAATAACCAATATAATTTTATTATTTTCAAAAAATTAATGCAGGAATAGTTAATTACTTAATCATGATTTGAATGAAGGAAATATAGCATGTGGTCTAATGTATAAATAATGGAAATTAGTAATTTTATTATAAAATAAAAATAGTTCACAATGTAATAGAAACAATATGATGTTTAGTAACTAAAATATGCTGAAAATAAATAAGTGCAAAATTGTATGTATGTATGTATATTGATTTGGTTCTGAATTTTAAACAACCTTATTTAAGGATTAGATTTACATGGCACAGCAATACACATTTTTAAAAGATCATTCTCACACAAATGTGTTTTTTTTTAAATCCTATCAAAATTTTCAAGAATTTTTAAGTCCAAAACATCTATTTTAATTAGGTAAATATAATATTAATATTAATATTATCTTATTTTAGTATCAGACTTTTCATGAATCAATGTTGTCATGTAATATGATCATCAATGTCTCAATAAGGTATTTATAAAACCCCAAGATCTAAGTTTAAAAAACATATATACTGCTATAGATTTGATTTTCAAATCTTTGCCTTAATGATAGTGAAATCTTGAAAGATTCAGTAGCCTTAAACAAACCACTTTTCAGAGGTATATGAAATGAAGTCATTGTGTTTAATTGCGTTATTCTACAGTAGTTACTTTAAAAATGTCTTTTGCTACCAATCATATTACTACATACTTGGAAAGAAGACACATGAATAAACGTATATACGATTATATTGTAAGAGATATATAGCTAATTTCATTATATACAGTAAGTAGTTTTAACAAAAAGATTAAACATTTCCAGAACTGGACTCAGATAAGATTTCTTTTTAAACTAGGTTTACATTTAAGTAAATGGAAACTTGATCCAAATTAATAGTAGAATGCTCACTGTATTTCATTTCATTAGAATATACTTATTGCACCATTTGCAAATAGTCAATCCTGAAAAATACATGTGCAAAAGAGCTATTTACAAAAATATTAAAAGTCTATAAAGAAGGACAAAGATGAGAAGGATCAAGGGATGCCAAAATAAAATGAAAGATTTGCCATCAATTTTGGCCCTCTTTCCAATGCTTACAATATAAATAAAATATTCCAATGAGAGAATCTTTAAAAAGTCTCATCCAAAACATTTCTGCTTCTGAAGAAAGAGGTTTCACAGGCAAGAATTCACACACATATTAAGATATTGTCTTCCCAAAGGAATGTACATCAGAGAAAAGAAAGTTTTATGACTTTGCAGTATGACCCAGGGTAAAAGCTGGTTTCAATCCCACTCTCTTGAAACAAACAGCACCTAAATCATGTTAAATCAACTAGTCAATTAGACTAGTAAAAGTAAGTTTCTAGAAATACACTATTATACTAGAATTCCCAAACAAGTATCTTATTAGCAGTTAGACCATGTAGTTAGACATATTTTCTAGTAACAAAATTTCTGCTAGCTTTGCAGTTCTCCTATAAGTAAATTTAATTCTGATTTTGTTAAGAGCTAACAGATGCCTTCATGCCATATACTGTATTTAAAATTTACCTAAATGTTCCAAATGTTGATAAAAACTTCAGTTCTGCCTAAACATAATATTTTTCCTCTTTTGTGGATAATTGCATTTTTATTTCTGCAAAATGTATTTTTATTTCCTTTCACTTATTAAATGATAATTTCTAATGATTCCTGCCCTGGCAACATGGAGTGATGGAAGTCACCGGCCAAATTGCAAATACTACCTTTCAAAGAGTGGGAGTCTTTACAAACTAGATGCTTATAAGTAAAAATAGACCAGAATACTTTTATTTTATTAATATGTCTGTTCCCCTCTCATAACGCATATGTATCATAATGTGTCAATAGTGTTATTGTTAATATTCAAATGACATCATATTCAAGTAAAATTATTTGCTCTGGTTTGCCATGACAGGGATTCTTTCTTCTTAGAGAGGTTGATAAGTGAAGAAAGTAAAAATTAAATCTGTGATTTTGTGTAAGCAAAATATAGGTTTTATTTATTTTTTATTTATTTGTATTATTATGGTGTAAAAATATCATCTGCTAAAAGTGTCACAAATAGTAAAATTACATAACATGATTTGAATTCAAGTCACATGATGAACATAAAAAATGATTTTATGGGGGGGGGGGGAATGGAAAAGTAATTAGCTTGTGTCCTGCAATTAATTATATGCTTTGGAAGAAAGTCTCGTTCTGCTGCCAATAAAACTTTTTAGTCAGTTAGTCCCTAAGGCTATCCTGTGGAAAAACAAGAGTGGAAAAACAAGAAATATTTTCAAAGGTTAATAGGCATTCTTTATTCTTCAGTTTCTACATTCAAACATCAAGTGTCCCAACAGTTCCTCAGCATTAACTGAAAAACAGCAGTACCTGTACTTGTTGGTGAATTTATTTCTTGCCTGATATTTCTACCTGCCTGGCTTCCAGACCTTGCAGTTTCTCGTTGTGGTTCAAGAATATCCCGATATTTGGAGACCATTAAAACAGAAATGAAGTAAACCACAGCCAAAGCTAAAAATTGTGCCTGTTTGCTATCATCCTGTTGAAGAAAAGGAAAACATACAAACACACAAAATAAAATACTATGAAAATACATAACAAAATTATTATCTCCTCTCTTAATCAATGCTATGGAGCAAATTACTAAAATTAAAAACAAACAATCTACTATATAACAGTTATTTAAACATTCCCTTGACTGGCATTTAAATATATGAACATTTCTTTCACTTTCCCAATATGAATGTATAGCCTGTCAGGGAAGGGTATGACTTAGTCTTCATAAATTATTACCTTAGAGGAAGTTGAGACAGTTACATATGAAAACTACCACAAAGTTGTAAATAAAATCAAATACATCAAATACATCATGTACTTAACTAGAGATTCTCAAACCAGTTTGTGATTTCTCTCAGAGAGGAAGTGGGACAAGGCTGAGCAACAGAAGCAGGCCATAAAATATTTTTAATAGTTAATCATGCTGGTGCAGAGAAAACAGGAATCATGCTACATAGTTTGGCCTTTTCTCACTACTTTGCCTGTCTATCCAATGGGGCAATAAGGTTTCATTGCATTTGCATTTTGCCTGTACATGTTTGTAAAGACAAAATAGGAAGGCTGTGAAAATTCATGCTGGGCAGTGTGTAACTACTGCAATAGAACCATGTTCGTGTATTACTATTATCCTTCTCACCTACTCTTATTGGCATGTTATGACTATCACTTGTTGGTTGTATCATATGATTTATGGCTGTATCTTATTATTTATAATTTATCACAGAGACAAATTCCTTGTGTGTCTTATCACATCTGGCCAATACAGAATATTCTATAGGAAAATAAAGTGAGGTTTAAATAATAATATATATACATCTGGGAAACTTGACCCAAATAGCACTGTGTTATAGAGCAATGCAGAAAAAAGACTAATTCTAAGCTCTTTAAAACTACCACTGAGATAAATAGCAATAGCACTTAGATTTATATACCACTTTACAGTGCTTTACAGCTCTAAGCGGTTTACAAAGTCAGCATATTGCCCCCAACAATTTGGGTACTCATTTTACCCACCTCGGAAGGATGGAAGGCTGAGCCAACTTTGAGCCTGGTGACATTAGAAATTGCCAAATTGCAGGCAACCGGCAGTCAGCAGAAGTAGCCTGCAGTACTGCACTCTAACCACTGCACCACCGAGGCTCATGCTAATTATAGTGTGAGAAAGCAGAGAAATGTAGATGATCCTTCTCAAGAATCATGAGAAATGATGTTAATTCAAATCCTTTTTTTGTAAACTTGGAGTACAATTTTTTTTTGAATACTAGGAAAGAAATTTGTCAGTACTTCGGGCTATATATTAACTGAGAGATTGTGATTGGCCCAACGTCCCTAAGTTGATTTTAGAGTTTATGAACTTCCACTTTCTAAGATACAAAATTGGTTCTTAGTTATATGAATACACAAGTCAATTTCCAATCTAAATAATCTTAAAATAGGAACGATCCAAACCAGATTCTGTTTAAGGATGAATCATATATACATTCTTAGATGGTTGACTAATTAAAATTCAACTGCCCCCCCCCCACACACACACACTGCAAATCTTACTCCCTACTTTGCCATCTTGTGTCCATGATTTTATCTGCTATGTTTTTACAATGAATAAAAAGGTAATTTTAATGTTTTTCAGTGCTTTAATGTTCTACGCAGCCTAGAATCTTTGGATACAAGATGGGTAACAAATACATTTAATAAATAAATAAAACAAATAAATAAATTTCTTCAATGCATTTAAACATTACATATGTCAATTCATGTTAGTCTCGCTTTCACTGAACATCTGGAGAATCTATCTATCTATCTATCTATCTATCTATCTATCTATCTATCTATCTATCTATCTATCTATCTATCGTATTTTTCGGTGTATAAGACGCACCTTCCCCCCTAAAAGAGGGTGAAAATTTGGGTGCATCTTATACACCGAATGTAGCCCCACTCTTTGGCCTCTGCCTCCCAGCAATTTACCTCCTTGGAGCAAAAAGAGAAAATGGGGTTTGCGGAGGTAGCAATAGGATATGGCAACCCCTGCAACCTTAAACAGCTGATCAGAGGTATTTTTCTTCTTCTAATCAGACTAAACTGAAACAGGCTATTTGCTGCAAGGAGCTAAGTCAATAACTATAAATGCCTATAGACTTATTTTTTAAAGACTGCTTTATTATTGTTCTAGACAACTTAACCAAATTAAGAAGCTTTTTAAAATAAATGCTTGATCTGAACAGGCCCAGTGCTATTGTATCTTCTTTTAAATAGCAGAGAATAATGTATATTCCAGAAAGCCACATCAATTTTAACAGCATTTGTACAAGTATAGTCTGAAATGTAACACCACAAACAGTGTATATCTTCTGTACTGTTTGCTGTTTGGTGCAAGGAGGCAAATTGCTGGGAGGCAGGGGGCAGTTTTTTTCCCCTCTTGTTTTCCTCCCCAAAAGCTATCTATCTATCTATCTATCTATCTATCTATCTATCTATCTATCTATCTATCTATCATCTATCTATCCATCCCTCTAAATTTAAAATCATATACTAAAATTATAAACTTTATAAGTAGAAAAAATTGAGAAATAATAGAAAGTTTTTCTATTAATTTAAAAAACTTTGAACGCACTGAAAAAACATTAAATAATTTTAGATATGTTCGATTAAAAGGGGCTTAACTGTAAGTATATGATTAAAGAGAGAAGAATTTCACCTTTCTATCTGCTTCAGGCACTGTAATAAAAAGGATATTCGACTAATCATATTTCTGAAAATATAGGGATATATATAGCTTAACCTTCACTATTCATACCAGAACGTTAAACTGCACCGAGAAACTTAATAGCAATGGAGATGCAAAACTAGAATGATACTGTTAGCAGGCAACTATTTGTAATTCCCAAATGCTTTTCAGAGACATCCTCGTGCAAAGCATTATAGCAGCCCAGCATGAATATAGATAACTTAACTATAACATATGCAACATCTAGAAAAAAAAATAGGTTGGCACACCTACCAAAGCTGAATTAAAGTATTTTTACTATGGGTGTATCATTAATTTCAAATAGCAAATCAGAAAACTAAAAGCCACCAATTAAAATAGTTGTAAACAGTTGTCATAGGTGTGACTATATTTCATACTACAGAGTCTGTATGTATTCAATTTTATAGGGAAGTTTTTGCAAATTAATTTTATAGAAACTCAAAAGGTTATTTCTCCATTTGAAGTGTTCTGTTTGAAAAGATTCTGCTGGCCAACTGTGCTAACACAATACTAAAGATTTTAAATTATTTTTTAAAAATTGTGATTGAATAGTCATTTAAAGATATTTCTCCCAGCCTTCTCTACTATTTCATAGAATCGTAGGGCTAGGAAGGACCACGGACCTCCTGGCAAAAGCAGGAGTCCTCATACCATTTTAGACAAATAGTTGTCCAATATTTTTCTGAAAACCCCTAGCAATGGAGCGGCCACAAATTCTACAAGGCAAGCTATTTGTCACAAATCTTCCTAACTATTTCCCACTATTGAAGAAAACCAAGGATTGTTATTGCAATCAAAAATAGTGTAGTCATTTCAATTGGTTGTATTATGTTTTGATTTCAAAGGCTGACCATCTTGGATGTATCTTCCAATATGGTTGGAAACAGATTATCAACTAAGGTAAATCCAAACTTAAATTAGAAATTCTACCCACTCTTGAGCTTCAATACTAAATTTCTCCAGCTTACTCATTTTTGATGAAGCAAAAGTCATTCGCAAGATTACCTTAATTAACCAGTAAGGACAGGAGATCGACAGAAATACGCCAAAGCTATTTCAAAGGATCATCATAATGGGCACAAACGTTTAAGCTGAAAAGGTGAATTCTACTCTGAGCAAAGATAAATTATACAAGAACCTGTTCACCATCACTACACAAAGCCCAGATTTTAAATACATTTTTTAAAAGCTGCAGTATAATAATACTTACCACATCGCGAAATACAACTGCTCGCAGTCGATTAATATCAACATCTTGAAGAAGCCTATCTGGATCTTTAATTGGGGATAGGTTACTCGGAACATTTTCCAATGGAGTCTAAAGATGCAATGATTGCATAGTTTTAGCAAATTAGTCTTAGCTCTTGAAGTTATCACTAAACAAGTAATTTGCATTTTACTGAATTCAAAGTTAGCATATGAAGCTGGTTTTAAATTTAAAATTTGGCACTCCCAATCCAATTAGTTGTTACTAGAACAATGCTAAAACCAATACTGTGCAATCAGTTTATCTTTCAATTGTCTCCTATATGCCCATGTGCTGATGAGAATGTTCCAATATTGTCATCCAACAGCAATACTATGAGTGTTATATTGGTTGTCCATGTTTATAGGTGCAATTTAAGATGGAAATAATAACGTATTAAATCTTCATAGTATTGGACTTGGGAAGTTGGGAGACTGCCTGCCACAGCACACCTACAGAGACTCATTATCCCATAGGAACTGCAGCAGGCAGATTCAAAAGCAAGCATTGTTTGCTGGATCTCCTTTCTGCAGAAACACATATACTCATTAGTATGTTCAGATAGCTTGTGAAGACCTGAAGGTACGTAGAATACATAAGACACAGTATTAGGTTTTATGAGGGACCAATTGTCATAAATCACTCTGCATACTCAGTATGTTCCTGCAGAGAGTGTGCACTTCCCCTACGAAATGTTGTAACCTTGCAGGACAAGGTAGCTTTGGAACAGCATGCCACACAGAAATGGACAGTGGCCTCTCTCTTAGGGTTCCAGAAAGCTTTGAAAACCTTTTCCCCAAGCTTGGGATTAATGTATTACTGTATTTCGGGGAAGACTGTTTGATTTAATTTGTGTCACTTTTAAAATCATTTTAGTCCAGAGTATATGGTCTTATGATTTATCTGTTTTTACAGATTTTTTTGCTTTTTTTAAGCTGCCTAGATTTCATTGGAGTTACATGGCTACAATTTGAATAAATAAATAACTGCTATAACTGACCTGGAATTGTTTATGGTATAACCATACACAACAAATTGACATTTGCTTCGTCAATACTACCATTGATAGTCCTGTAACCCCTTAGATCAGTGGTTCTCAACCTGTGGGTCGGGACCCCTTTGGAGGTTGAACGACCCTTTCACAGGGGTTGCCTAAGACCATCAGAAAACACATACTTTCGATGGTGTTAGGAACTGAGACACCAATTTTATGGTTGGGGGTCACCACAACATGAGGAATTGTATTAAAGGGTCGCGGTATTGGAAGGATTGAGAACCACGGCCTTAGATCTACTTGTCTGAAGGGGTAAATAATATTGATAATAAATGCAACTGTTCATAGTAAATTCAAATCCTGTTTCAATATTATGAAATATGTAAGAAAATAATTTTGGAATTATTAAACTGTGAAGTTTTCCCTATCTGTCTAATATAGACAGATAATAGTTCTTTTTCTCTTTTCCTATTCACTTTTAATGGACACTTTTTATATACTAAAAGAAAATATTTTACCTTGGCAGTAGTAGTTGCACTTATGCCCTGAAGAGTGTCTTGTGTTTTACTGCAGATTAGTGAAGATTTATTTATCTTTTCTCTTTGTCTTTGTCGACATTCCAAACAGTTTCGCACAGCAACACAACAAACTAAGTAATCAAAAGATATAAATGCATATTAATTACAACTAATTACAACTACTATGCATTAATAAAGCCATTAAAATGAAGGCTATGAATTAATGAAGGCCATGAATTTCATATGAAAGAAGAATAAGCAAGTAAGATGGTTCAAAAATATTAAAAAAACAAAGAGCAGAAAAAATGTATTTTGATATATAAGGAAATGCACTATACAAAGTAGGTAAATGACAAATTAGTCAATTAGTCATTAGGCTATAGAGGATACGTAGCAATGACATATCTTTAACATACAATAGGTATAAGGCTTAATTTTTGGCAAATTAGTAAAAAATACTTTGTAACAATTATATTTCTGTTTGTGATTTTGAGACCAACTGATAATCAAAGTACGTAATGTGGAAGGGAAGCTTTTTAATATGTGGGAACGAAATATTTTCAAGGGGTATAATTATTTTGTCACCTGAGAACCATAGTGAATGATGCTATGATGCTATGTGAAAAGAGAATGAAGTGGAAAAGAAGGTTCAAGTTCTCTTTTGTTTTGGAAGAGAGCTATTATGTTTTATGGATTAATGTTATATACCATATATAACATATAACGGATGCCTAATGCATCTGTTTTATTTTTAGTAAGAAATGGAATGAAAATGTTATGGTGTTACTTAGCATTTTACTCCAAATTAGGTGACACAATCTTGAAAGCCCGTAACAGGCACAAAGAGCAACCAGAGCCAGAAGTATATGTATGGGTCAAAAAAGTCACATTGGCAGCCATACCCATTTGACACAAAGAGTGGGGGAAACGCCTGGTTAGAGCAATGCCTATCATTCAGCTAACTTTCAGGTAATCTGATATACATAAATTAATGATTGAAGTTGAGAACTCTTAGATAAAATGAATCATAAATTCAATATGTTTATTAGAATGAATAGAGTTTCAAGCTTTTGAATTTTCAAAAACAAATTTGCCGTACTCTCATAGCCAAGAAAGGTTGGCAGAGTTTAAAACTGGGAACAAAGATGACATTCTATCAGTTGCACCTTCAGTTGAATATATAAAATATACTACCCAAAAATCAAAACAATTGATTTCTGTCAACTGTTCAGATACAAGAGAACTACTACACTTATCCAGAGGGCAAAGTTTCTGTATAGTGAACTAATGATGTCAATAAAAAAGCTCATTCTCTACGATAAAACAAGAGACTAAAGACTAAGAAGAGACAGAAATCCAAAAATCGGAGGCAACGGCTTCTATTTCAAATCAAATTAAAATATTCCTCAACAATTATTAATAAAATTAATTTCCCATTTCAATTGATTAACAAAAATCAAACACCTAAAGAAAATGAACATGTCTTTAAAAGATGTGTATTTAAAAAGATTATACAAACTTGTTGGAATGTAGCTATTTTATGGCTTGAGGCAGATCGGGAAAAATTGAGTTTCTATAACATGAAAATTTTATAAATTTAAATAAATTTGTTAGTTTCTTGAATTTCTAAAGTTTCTTCCATATCCAAGTCAAGTTTTGATTAAGCTTTTCATTTCTCTTTCTAAATCGTCTTTCCTCAAATCCTCGATGTATTTCTGAACTTCAAGTTATTTTTATATGTCTATTTCACTTATTTGAGAAAATAATATAACTTTCAACTTATTTAGTTTTTTCTATTAGGTTGCTTGAACTGAAGGCAACATAATTCCCGTGCCTACAATATTTTTTAACGCAGGTGCTTTACCCTTGTGTTAAATTTAATTAATTTGTTATGTTTATCATTAAGGCAAACCTTAAAAGCATAATATTTATATTAGGGAAGCATGTACAGAATATAATATTTATATTAGGGAAGAATTGAAACTATTTTAATTATATAATTGTTTATTTTTATGATACATTATACTTTGCTTCCTTTTTTATTCTTTCCCCCCTTTTTTAAAATATTTGTTATGCTTTCTTTTTCATGATAATGTATCTATATCCATGATTACTTTTGTGTTTTGTTCTTTTTTACCCTTTTTTGTTTTAAAAGCAATAAGAATAAATAAAAATTGAGCCTTAAAACAATCTAATTTTACTTCCAAAATTCACCTCTAGGTAGTGGCCCATTACACAGACATGGAATTTATTTAAAGAAGAAATCATCCAAATTACACTTTTATTCGGGTGATGAACAACGGGGCTCTCCCAAATACAATCTTCATGTTTTAATTAAGATTCCCTTAATAATCCTTGTCTTTTTCATTATGCATCTTTTTCTTTCTTTTGGGGGGGGATTTAGGAACATATGCTTTTGTGTTCCAAAATAGCTTAATTAATTTCTAAAACTGTTTACTTTTCTTCTTTTGAATGGCCAATAGGGTTGACCATTCATTTTTTTTTTCTTGTAATAGTCTTTTTATAATAGTTCTTAGAACGATGAACTGATTTATAAGCAGGATAAGATCAATCACAGGTGGTGATGATGATAATAATTTGCTTCCCTTACCTGAATTTATTTTCCTCCAACCATTTTTGTTTGGTCTATACATTATTTGGTGCTATTATGTTTTCTTTTTTATGAATCTCATGAGATATTTAGAACCACAAGAGGGAGCTCTGACACAAGGAATTGCTACTTGAATTTTTAATTTTGAAGCAAATTTAAGATTTCGATTAGGCCTTTTAGCATAAAGGATGACAGTATTAAAAGTTTATTTTAAGGTTTTAATATTTATAAATCATGTTTAGATTTAAGATCTCAATTTCTTTACACTTTTGTCTCATACTGGTTTAGCTAGTCTGTTATAAATTATGATAGTATCACTGAACTTTTAACGTATCTAATATCTTAATTTAATCTATCAAATTTATCCACACCCCAAAAAAAGGAAATCACAAAAATGGAAGAGGGTCCACATTCTTCAAAGTCAACAGATGCCTTAGTTATTTTATCACCAATAAAGCTCTTATTGGAGATGAATTACACATAATTAAAGATAATGATTATGATTACATATTAGCCAATTGGTATTTATCTTAGCAACCATATTTTTCCACCAAGATGATGAGCCTCCAGCTTGGTCCATTAGGTCTTCCAAGGACAGAGCAAACACCACTGTAACAGTAAGTTCATCCATTGTTCTTGCTTCTCTTGTTTCTCTTCATTCACCTTTCCCAGCATTAGTCTTCTCCAGAGAACTAGGTCATCACAAAGCATGTCCAAAGAGCCTGAATATTTGCGCCTCTAGGAAGAACTCTAGGATTGATTTGTTCAATGATCATTTGTTTTCTTGGCTGTCCATATTATTCTCCAATACCAAAGTTCAAAAGCATCAACACTATTTCTATCCGGTTTCTTCAAAGCATCAGTTCTCTAATATAGTACCACTAAATTAATACAATTGACAGGAATTGAAAGATCAGCCATCTTTTTCTTCCCTAGTTCTGAACCAACTTACTTAATAATGAATTCTTAGAAAGTCTGATAGTTTGGAACTATTTTATAGAACTTCAGCTATAAAGATACTGAGGCTCCAGATTTTATATATTTTTATTTGTGGCCAACACACCTTCGAAAGCTTGCGTTCTCCAGTGCTAAAGAAAATGGTAACAGGTATAATACTTCAGAGCAGTATAGTATGTTATCAATCGTTTGCTTAAAAATATATTTAAAATGTGTTTCTTATACAGATGTATTATAATTATCAGAAGAAAAATAAATGATGATATAAAACAGAATGTTCAGATACTAACAACTGTTACTAATTTCTGTAATTGAGCCTGTAATTGTTAGAACAAAATATTTCCCCTAAAGGTGAGGAAAAGTAGAAATAGCCTCAAAAGAAGCCAAACCCATTAACACATCACACGACTGAATGATAATGCTATTTTTTCATTAGAAATTTCTCTCTTTTAGAATACAAATGCTAAATCAAAAGTGTCTCTATAACCAGAGGTATAGAGGTAACAGTAGGTTAAAATCTTAACATTCCATAAAATATTCTTTCTTACCCAAAATCAAGTGAGCTTCCACATAAGGTTATTTTTTCCTTTCCCACACTACCTAGTTTAATTGGTCTATATGTAATTACCTGGTGCACTATGGTAAACTTACCAAGCCTTAGACACTGTCGCATTAAGCCTCCAGAAGACATATTTTTTTCAGCTTCAATTTCACTAAAATTTAGTGAACTGGCAAATACTAGTACATCAACCATAGCCATCAGCCGGCTGAGAAACGTTACTGCTGTCTCCGCTGACATACCCTGAGTTACTTCTATATTCTCCAATTCCGTCTTGAAAAGAAAGGCATAACATTAGATTTCTAATATGGCGCACATGTGAATACATTATATGCACAGACATTTATTTCATTTCTTCTCTGCATGTTAACTATATGGTGAAACAGAGAATAAATAATGTAAAATAGCAACAAATATGAAAAATTATTTGTTCATGCATACTATCTAATATGAAATCCCTAGAACTAAAGTTATTTATATGAACTAATTTCAGATAAAATGAGCATATAGGTTAAACAGAATAGATTTTCAATTTTCCATTAAAGGAATACAAATGAAGACATTGAATAAATGGATTTCTTCACACTGGAAATTAAGAACAAAATATCATGAATATGACATGTTATGTAAAAGTAAGACTTTGACCAGAATGTAAAAAACATTATTGGCAATATTTACTTAAAAAGTACAATTCATATTTTACCTAGAATTTCAGAAAAAACAACAGATAGCTGTTTCTTTCATGAAAGTCTTCCTAGTAGGCCATATCTAACTGTATGAAATGTATGTCTGCGCCCACAAACACACACACAGTTCATGCAATTGTTTTTAAAGATAATTTTATGGAAGATGAGAGATAATGTTGCGAAGGAATTACTTGGCATCAATTATAAGTAATTTTCCAAGGATAGTTTTGTGAATCTTATTCATATAACAATTCTTTTAAAATTCATTTTTTAAAGATATTAGAGTGTCAAGAATTTCACTAACACTGTATAAATACAGTATAATGCACTTAAATAATGTTTAATTATTTATGTCTTGTAATAATATAGCAAAATACTTTTTTAAACATTAACAATATTCATTTTTTCATATTTCAGAAGCAGCAGTGTCTCTTTTAACAATGGTATAAGAGAAATAATTTTGTAATCACTTCTGAAAAATATTCTATGTACAGATATATTATGTATATGTTTGTGTGACGTGTGTTTGTGTGTGTGTGTGTGAGAGAGAGAGAGAGAGATCTCAAAATCACACCTAATATATTAAAATCCAATAGATTTGTATGTGCGTGTGTATAAAAATTTATTTCAGCCTTCACTAATTAAAACCAAGATAGAAAGTCTATTTTCATAGTGGAACACTGTGCAAACACTGAAACGGGACTCATTTCTCATTAAAACAGGGAAAATAGTGAGTTGCTCTATGGAAAGCTTTCATTAGTCTCCAGTTAAACAATTCATTCAGAAGGTTTGGCATGTTAGCTAGCATCTGTATAATTTTAGCAACAAGGCCACAGAACGGTTTGTGGTTATGTTCAGTATAAAAATACAGTGTTATACAGAACTTCTTCAGGCCATTCTAGATAACAGTAGAATCAACAAAGTGTCCTACTGGTAATTTATGAACATATTAAGTACTAAGATATTTATTATGTAAAAAAGCTTTTGTTAGCACAAGAAACTTCATTAAGTTAGACCCATGAAAGAAAAGCTATAATAAACCCTTTTGTTTTAAAGTATCATAAGATATTTGCTCTTTTGCTGCTAACCTTCTGACCTTAAAGAGGCAGTATTGTTTATTCTTATTGGAAAATATTATTCAGTTTGCACATTTTAACGTTATCCATTGCAATTTGCAAGTAATTTTATATGGATTGTATCAATCATAATAGCATTTCATCTACAAAATAATGAAAAAATGTTATTTCCATTCAAGGTGTTCTTTCTAGAGATAGAAAATATTTAGCCTTTTTTAATGTTATTATTGAAGGTTAAAGCATTTTGTTCCGTTTTCTTCTTAATACTGTTGCAATTAAATCATTCCTGTTTATTGAGCCAAAATCCTTGGTTCGTGTTGCCCAGGCGGTAAGAAACAGAGAACAGTTCTATTATCATGCTCAAGTATTCCAAAAAAGGTGAAAGAAGAAGCAACCCCCCCTTTCTCTCCCCCTTCCCTCTCTCCCTCCCCGCTCTCATCATGGTGTATATAAGTAATATCCTTGGACTGTCACTTTTACTTCCTACAGTTAGATTATACAATCAACACCTTTTAATAATGTCTCTACATTTTTATAAAAAGAGGCTAAATAATTAAAAAATGCACACAGAAAAAAATATCTAATTCTAAAAACTAAAACTGAAACTTGTAACAATAATACTAACCTTAGAACCCTGGACATGCAATAGACAAAGCAGACAACAGATCACAACAAAAAGAAAAAGAAATGTTACAGTCAAATGAAAATACAAGGCAAAACAGAAAGTAATATTTTAAAAATCAGATATTAATTCACAATTTTAAAAGTCAATTTTAAAAACATGTTTTTAAACTTTAACTTCTTATATGGCATCACTGTAATTGATATAACTCAAATTAATAAGTAATTAGTACAGCATTGATTAATAAAGCTTCTTTTATATATAACAATATAAAACCTACTAATTAAAAACAGTGCATGTGTATACATATATTAAATTTTATATATATAAATAATTAGGTGATCCAGAAATTTGCTAAATATAATTTGCTAACATTTCTTTAGCTTTTATACAAAACAATTCTGACTAAAATCTGATTTGAATAATATTAAGAACAATTTCTCAAATGATATTTTCTTTGCTTAAAGAAATTCTAGCACAGCAGACCATTAGACATCAGTTACAAAACTATGATATATACTTATCAGGTTAGTAGTTAAAGCAACACAGTCATCTATCAATTTTATCAAATCAACAGCTGAATTGTGTTTATATTTTAAAACTAATTTTAAATCTAAGGTATGTATTTATATATTTATATTTCATGTGTGTGTGTGTGTGCGTGTGTGTGTGTGTGTATGTATATATATATATATATGTATATGTATATGTATATGTATATGTATATGTATATGTATATGTATATGTATACGTATATGTATATATAGGTTTCTAGTTATTCGGGTTTTCTCCCGCATAAAATTGGAGATGTCTTGGCGATGTTTCGACGAAGTCTCATTCGTCATCTTCAGGCTACTTCAGGCTTGGTGCTTCCAGGAGCAATGTGAGATCTTGGCTGTTTCTTCCTTTTAACTGCCAGTGCGGGTTTGAACTGATTGGGTAGGAGTTTGGCTATGTCTTGATTGGGTGGAGGTGTGTCCTGATTGGGTGGAAGTGTATTCTGATTGTTTGGGGGTTTGTGTTTCATGTAAGGATAGGAGGGGTTTAAAGAGGCTAATTGTGCACAAACTGTCCATCTCCCTCGAGAGGTTACTCATGGACCTAGTGAGCCCCACATTCATGGTCCCCTATGCCTACCACACAAGGCCACATATCCCTTTGAAGAAGATGAAGAGGTTGGGGGCTTTCCTCACTACAGAATATTCTACAATGTGGGGACAGCAGCAGAGAAGGCTCTCTACCTAGACACTGCCAGTTAAAATTCTCAAACTGATAGTGGTGTGAAATAAACCTTACCTGTCTGATCAATTGAGACATTAGGATAAGATGGAGTGAAGCTGGTTCTGTAGGTAACCTGTCTCTATACCATATAGAGCTTTATAGATGATAACCAAGACCTTGAATTGGACCCAGATACAAACTGGTATCCATTGTAGTTGACAGAGCAAGGTATTATATGTGTCTTTTGTGGGGGGGGGGGCAGTATAGCTTGTGCAGTTACACTCTGTATTAGTTGAAACTACTAGATACTTTTCAGAGTAGCTCCATGTACAGCACGTTGTAATAGTTCAGTCAGAAGATGAACCAGGAAAAGGCACCGCTGGCACACAATGCGAAGTTGGGCAAAGGGCCTCGTGGCTATGACTGCCACTTGCTCATCAACCAAGAGCTGTGAATCTACGAACACTCCCAAGTTACATACCAAGTCTGTCTCAGCTGGTGCAACCCCATCCAAGACCAAAGATGATAAACTCTTAGGTACAGAGGGACCCACCCACAACCACTCTGTCTTATTGAGATTCTCTTGTTCCTCATCCAGACCCACACACATTGCGAAAGGACATCCATGCAATACTCAGTTTACCTGGGATGAAGATATAACTAGATATCATTACTATATTGGTGATATCTTCTCTCCAGAAATGGATGATCTCACCTACAGGTTTCATATAGATGTTGAAAAGGAGCAGAGAGATCACTGAGCCATTTGGGCTCAGGGGAGGTGCCATGACTTCTCGCTCCCTATTAACTTTGCTTAGGACTGCCCTCAGAGAAAGAAAGTGTATCAGCGCCAAACTACTATGCTACGTAATCCCAATTCCTCAAGCCAGCCTAAAGGAATGCCATGATCAATTGTATTGGAAGCCACTGAAGGGTCAAAGAGAGCAAAGATGGAAGCACACCTCCATTCCACTCCTGCCAGAAATCATCCATAAGTGTGAAGTTTCAGTTCTGTATCTAGGCCTGAAATCTGACTGGAAAGGGTCCAAATATCTCTTTCCTCCAGGATCTTCTAGATCTTCTTGACCATTTTTGGTCAAGATCTTCTTGACCATTTTTCCTAAAAAGGGCAGGTGGAGACTGGACAAAAATTGTCTAACAAGGAAAAATCCAGTGATGATTTCTTGAGTAGGATCACAATAGCGCCTCTTTAAAAGGAGCTGGAACCACCTCCTCCAACAAAGATAAATTTACCAACAAAATGGACCTGCCCACATGATACCATCCGGGTGACCTTAACCAGACAAGAGGAGCAAGGATATAATACTCAGATGGTGATATTTGCATTCTGCAGGAACTTCTTCATGTCCAACAGAATCAAGCCAGTTCCATTTCCCTGAGCACCCTCACAAAATTTCCACACTTGGATTCAACTGAGATGAATCCAAGCAAGTTTACTTTCTAAATGCCTTGATAATTCCACTATACAGCCCTGGAGATTGGTCTCCCTAACAACTTTCCCAAGGAAGGTCTGTGTGACCCGAAGCAGGGCTGCTGGGCAGCAGAGGATGTAATGCATAACTTGTTTTGCATCATCAACAGGGACTCAGATTTGACAGTCAAATCACTTTTGAAACAAAAGGATTTTTTTAAAAAACAAATCCTTGTGTTTCAAATTATATTTTGGTGAGGTATACCAGCCTTTTCTAAAAGGAAGCAGAATATATTATATTGGGATAAAGTAAACAATTTATTTTAAAATGATATTAATATCATTATTTCAATGATATTTTACTCTCATTTTAAAATTTAAGGATACTACAATGCATTTAACTTCATGTTAAACAAAATCTTCTTTCTCCCTTTTTAGAAGAATATGCTTTTATGATTAACTTTTAATAGCTCTTATGCCAAATCTGCATTTAAGCTATACTAGTTGTACTACAAAAAGGAATTTATAAAGTTGTACTAGCTAAAAATAGGATTATGATATACAAACAGAACAATTGCGAGGGTTCGCAATTTGGGGGTCCTCCTGGATCCGCAGCTGACGCTAGAACATCATTTGTCAGCTGTGACCAGGGGGGCCTTTGCCCAGGTTCACCTAGTGCACCAATTGCAACCCTACCTGGACCGGGAGGCCCTTCGGATAGTCACTCACGCCCTCGTCACCTCAAGACTGGACTATTGTAATGCGCTCTACATGGGGCTGCTCTTGAAGAGTGTTCGAAGACTTCAGCTTGTCCAGAATGCAGCCGCGCGAGCGATTGTGGGTGCACCTCAGTACACCCACGTTACACCTATCCTCCGCGAGCTGCACTGGCTGCCTATTGGTCTCCGGACACACTTCAAGGTGCTAGTTACTTTTAAAGCCCTACATGGTATCGGACCTGGGTACTTGAGAGACCACCTCCTGCCAGTCACCTCCCAAAGACCTATTAGATCACACAGACTAGGCCTCCTCCGAATTCCATCTGCCGGCCAATGTTGGCTGGCGACTCCTCGGGGGAGGGCCTTCTCTGTGGCTGCTCCGGCCCTCTGGAACGATCTCCCCATGGAGATCCGGACCCTTACTACTCTCCTGGCCTTCCGCAAAGCAGTTAAGACCTGGCTGTTCTGGCAGGCCTGGGGCTGTTGAGCCATCCAGCCTCATTCGAGGTTACAGCTGTTGTATAATTTTAAATTGTTGTTTATTTTATTTTTTTGTATCCCTTCCCCTTTTTTATTGTGAGCCGCCTGTGAGCCGCCCTGAGTCCCTCGGGAATAGGGCGGCATACAAACCCAAAAAAAACCAATTAATCAATCAATCAATCAATCAATGTAATTTGCTCTGTTTATACCATTGATTTTGCAGTATACCTAGATAATAAATCTGTATATATAAGTAATAAATTATTATTCTGAAATAATTTTTCTATGCAAATTTGCTGAAGGCATAAAGCGTACAGTACATCCTGTAGTTTAAAAAATGAAAAATGTGAATATTTTCTTCTTATACAGAAAATCATGCTCAGAACAAGTATTGTTAATACACAGTGCAATTTGCAAGTTATCCATTAGAGGGAAATATTGTACTTACAGTTGGGGATGTTGCTGCAGACAACAGTGGCAGAATTCCTCCACAAGCAATAATAATATTGTCTACCATTTGAGAAATGAGGTGGATTGTATTATGTACAAAAATAATATTTTCATTACTATTGACAAAGTCCATAACTGATTTGGTAGAATGACTATTAAAAGAAAAGGAAAAGAAAGACTATAAGTAAAACTATAAAGGCAGTTGCTACTGCAAAGATAAAAATCACAGAAATCAATCAAATTGGGAACCATTGAAAAACAATACACAACACATATACATACATCCATTTACAACATTTATATCTTTTGTGATATCAAATTACAAATATATATTGATCTAACAAGTGTCACAAGTTGACCAAAAACCATTTTAGAGAGAGAACTGAAATATAAACTGCTGTTATCCAATCTGGATGAAGGACTGCTGCTATAACATGGATTGAAACTCAAATAGCAGGTAATGTATATATATATTAGCTAAAGCATGTAAGACCTAATCAAGAAAGCTTTAAACTGAAATGCTTTGGAGGTTGGAGACAAAATCCCTGAAGATTCTGCGCACTAAAGAACGACGTTGGAATGATGCTGTAAAGGAATCCATGAAAGAGATTCTAAGAGGAATCAGAAAGAAAAACAGGCTTGCAAAATTCAAAGCTGTCAGCTTTTCAAGGTAAGCTGTATCAAGAAATACCAGAATTCAATTTCACTGTTCTTATACTAACAAACTCTTAAAAGCCTGCAGTTCCCATCTGCCCACACTTACACCTTGCAGAATAAACATAGGTTTATTATGACTCTTTTTCTCATACTCCTCCTTTCCCAGGGTTAAAGGAGGGAAATGGCTGAAGAAAACCTTCTAGTTTTGCAAGTACAGCCTTGGCCCACTGACAGATATGAATGAAAGAGGCATAAGGCAAGTGATTTCCCTTTCCTTTGATGAAAGTTAGAGAACAGCTTCCAAGGCAGGTCCGAGTTTGTTTGTACAACAAATACTGGAGAGATTTGAAAAGCCTTTGAAAAGTGCATGCTCTTGAACAGACCATGTATGTCACTTTTTAGAAGTTAAAACCATGGTCTTATGTATCAATTCTATAGAATTAGCAAAGTACAGAAAACACTGGACATTGTTCAAATTTCTAGATGTCTGTTCTTGTAGAATTCATCTGTATCCTGATTGTAGAGGTTTAGTAACTCAAATAGTGCAAATGGGAAGATCAATATTTTTCTAACCTAGGAAAAAGTCAGTGTTCAGAAAAGACATTTCTGAAATTTATGCAAAGCGGACCTTCTGGGGGGAAAAAAATCAGTATATCATCTAAGTATATTATTATATATCCAAGACTGATGGACAACTAATCAATCCAAATGGGCATTACTGTGTATTTAAATTTACTATACATATAAAAATCTGTTAAATATTCAGGACCCTTTTTCATTCTGATCAAATTATAGCACCTGTCAAATCCGATTTGGCAAATATGCATGCCTTCCTAAGGTAATTCACCAATTCTGAAGAGGCATTGGGTAATTGATCTCTAATGGTCATAGGTTCAAAAAAGTGGTAAAAGGAAAGGATGGGATACATGTAAATAGTACTACTGAGACTTTTGAATATGGAAAGATATTGTGTCTTGCTCCCCATGGATCTTACATCCAATTTATGCCCAATACTAGACATGAATAGAACCTGTGATGCAGAATGTCAAAAATTCCATATATTAATTTATTTTCAGCTGTAGAGTACATTAGTACATTGCAAAATGTGAAGCAGCTCAAAGGAATTGCCTGATAATTGTTTCCACAAGCTTGGCTTTCTCTAGTAACTGTATGAGCAATTCATATGAATTTCGTTGTTACACCAAAGTCTGAAGGAGTGGACAGCTATATTTCTATACCAGAGAATGTATAAAGAATAATGTGACTTCTTAATTGTCTGAGAGCTTCTGTGCCAAGCTTATGGAAGTGGAGCCTGAGAAACTTCCTGAAGATGAAGTTCTGGAGAGATTCAGACACTAGCTTGTTGTGTGGCCTGCAGTTCCATGCTGCAGCAATATGTAATGGGCTCAGATTATCTGTACTTTAACCATGTACATATTAGTTAGGTATCCTAAGTTTTTACAGTAGAAATACAAATTTAAATCACACATTCTCTTTCTCTGCTGAGAAGAGGGACCTCTTCACTGCACTTCTCCAGAACTGGAGGCCAAGGAAGCCACAAAAAGGGTGATGGAGTCAAAGCAAGGTTGTGATTTCTCCCCAGTTATGTAAGAAAGCCACAGAGGAGGAGATTGGAGTTAAGAGAGGATGTACAATTATTTCCCCTTTGTCTCAATTCCTTCAGTCATCCCTCATTATTATTATTTTTTAAAAACATTTATATATCCCCACATATTATAACCAACACTGTTGGAAAATTCTTCCAAATTTTCTGGTGTGTATCTGTTCATTAGCACGTTTCCTGCTCAATCTGAGCAACTTCATTCCTATCCACATCTCTGGCATACAGCTGAAAATAAAACTACATATTCACAAACTCAGTTGGGTTTAGGCTCACCTTGCAACTCTTCCAATTTGCTACTGATATCTTGAATGAGTTATCATAAACAGCTCTAAAACGTTACATGAGGATTACAATTCTCCAATATCCTCAATGAGGGACACAATCTGTTGTAACCCTATCTTTCAGTAGAAAGGCAATCTTAAGAGGTCTCTGGGATGAATTTCCCTGGCCAATTTCTCCATAAAAATTAACATTGCATTGTGAAAGTCAGATACTGATCCTGAGCAACTCTCCATTTCCCATTTGTTTTCCAGGAATTTCCATGAAAATGAAGACACAAGTTATAAGACAGCTTCTGGTTGAAGCAAATTTCCCCCCCAATTGCTATGTTAGTTGCAGCATGGCACTCTGCATTGCATGGTACAAGTCCATGGTGTGATTTCACTTACTGTTGGTTGGAACAATGTCTTGACAACTCTTTCTATAGAAAGTGGGATGCCCAAGGATCTGTTGCCATCTTCAAGTTCTAAAATCAAGTTTTGATACCTCTGTGTTGAGAAATTTGTGAGGCTTACAAGTTTAATATCAGTCCTTTCAGGTAAGCCAAACCAAGAAAACGGTTTCCAGGAATTCAACTTTATGGCTGTAGTGTATAACAGAATTTTGAAAGCCAAGTTTCTCTCTCCCATTTTACATTAAACAAAAGCAAGATGGGACATTTTGATTTGAGTTTCATTCTCAAAAATGCTTCAATTTCTCAACTGTTTAGGCTGTTCCTTCCTCCTCTCCTTAAAAGCTCTTTCATTCCTTTACCAAAGTAATCTCTAAATGCATTTTCAGCAATGCACAGATTAAAAACAAACATTCAAACTACAATCAAAAACAAAAAGAGATGCTCAGCATGGAAATAGCAAACATAGTAACAACAAATCAACACACACTGACCCGAGCCTGGAGGAAAGGTCCTTAAAGGCTTTACAGATGACAACCAATACCTTGAATTGCACCCAGAAGCCTATTATTAACCAGTACAGTTGACATACTATAGAATACTCCTAACTGCCCTGGAATCACTACAAAATATTCCCTCTGCCCTTGCTGGCTGCTCAGGATATTGTGGTCAATGGTAATGAATGGTAGTTTCCTCCTATTCAGCCTCCAATGCAACTTACCTGCTGTACAATGTTGTTTCCATCTCATGATGGGCCTTAATCTAGATCAGGGCTATCAAATTCATGGCCCATGGGGTGGATGCATCACACGCTGGCCACGGCTCCGCCCGGTTTAGCAAAGGGGGGGAAGTCGCAATACATCCCGATGCCACTGTGACGATGCAAGTTTGACACCCCTGATCTAGATAATCAATTTCTTTAGGGTCCTTATTTCCCACAACCCTCCCTCCAGAAAAAAAAAGTTGGAGGGTGGCAGAAATCTCATGCAGCAGAATGGAGAGACTGATTTTAGAGAACGTGTACAGCACTGATTCTATCAAGGCAGTTAACATTACCCATACAGCAGTCCAGCTGTTCTCCTCATCCAAATGAGCCAGATTGGATATGAATCTAGCTTACAGATGCCAAAGCTTATATCACAGAACAACCTATCAATTTTGTCAAGTTTCACAATTTCAAAAAAAAACAAAAACATAATTCACTACGTAAGACTTTGCCTCACTTTTCTCATGTAATTCTGCCCAACTGGTAATTTAGACCTCAGCAAGTAGACTTAGAATGTTAAAAAGAAACCTGTGAAGATATTAAAGAAACCTGTATGTGTTTTACCACACTCATTATTAGAAAATGAATGGTCTCTTACCTTCTCCAAACATGCACATCAGTTTCTAAAGCAAATAGTAGATCAGTCAGTAATCTCTGGTGCATGGGGGACCATTTAAATTCTGGAATACGGAACATTGTTGTTCGTGGACCTGGGCTGAATTGTCGCCTCTGTTCTTCTGTCATCGGCATTCCTCGAAATCCCAAGTCAACACGCAAGTCTCTATCCTGTTGTGTAATAGAACGACCTTGCACAGCCTACATAAGGAGTAAATATTTGTTTTCATTTAAAATATGCAATGCAAAATCTGGCACAAAGTACAATCCAAGTGTTATGAGGCAAAGATATTTAATTAAGCACATACAGCAAAATTAGAAAATCTTATTAAGGAAACTTTGTCCTACTTCCACATGTCTTGTTAGATAAAATTATTTAAATTTGTATGTTTTAATACCATTCCATTTGAAATGAAGTACAAAAGAGTTATGAATTACATAACAGTATAACTGAAAATACCTATTTTGTTTCACCAGTGTGTTAAAAAAGCTTTAAAGTAAAATGATAACACATGATAAAGAATAATGTATGTTTTATTTGTCACAGAAACAATTCAAATGTGAAATAAAAATATAATTTACTAGCTTACATGGTTCTCAGACAGAAGTAATTAACTCAATTAATGTCCCCACATCCCAAGACTTCAGTTGGGCCCAATGCTACTAATATTTTCCTGCTAGTAATCTGGCTGGGATAGGCAGAAGTGGGTATTTGATGGTGTTACAGCTATTGTCCAGGATATAAACTGTCCCAAGTAAAGCTGCCTTTTGCAATTGAGTGATGGTTAATTTGTCAATGTCGGTGGTGTTCATTCCAAGAAAATAGTTTTTTCAATATATCTAAACATTAACAGTCTAGATTATACTTTAATAAATATTTTAAAAGCATGTTTTAATTCTGTTTTAAAATCACAAGGTTCTGTTCATAGTAAATCTCTTCATATTCCACCTTCAAATTCTTCTGGTAAGCAATTTTGTATTTTATGCCAGCTGACGTTCATGATTGCTGTACAACAACACAATCAAATATGCAAGACAATAAAATTCTTACTACTGCTACAATTGTATCAATGGAATCAAAATGAAGAATAACATTCAAGTCCCATTAAGCTCACCAGAAAACATTAACTTTCATTCATCAATCATTATTATCATTTGAAAATAGTATGGATAAGCAGGGTACACATATACAGTGCCAATTATTTAGGGAAAGTTTTTTTTTTATTAAAAAAAGTTTGTTTTAATTACAAAAGAATGTATCAGTTTCTTACAATCAATTTGTCTATAGTTCACTATTTCTATTGGTAATTTTCATCTTTTTAACTCTTTCTTATTTTATTTTCCTGAGTTCCTATTTAAGGGATGGCAAAGTAAGATGACATAATCAGTAGAATAACTGAGTCTCTGACTTTCAAGACTCTTCTGTTATTGATGACCAAAATACAGTACTAAACTATAGGTAGTTTTCACTTACAAAGTCACAAACGGGACCAACAACTCTGTCACTGTGGTCATTAAGCATGTGGCCATGTGACCGCACTAATTTAGGTCAGTTCTGGCTACAGTAGTTAAGCAAATCACTGCAAGTCATTAAGCATGATGTCACGTGACCACAATTTATGACTTCCTGCTGACTTCCCTGCTTGGCTTGGCTTGGCTTGTCAGTAGCCACACGTGAATGTCACAAGTGCCAATCACATGACCATGGGGTGCCGTAACTGTCATAAATGCATTTGCATCACTTCTCAAGTGACTGAATCATAAACATATCAGTGCAAGGATGCTGCAATAGACACAACTTTAAAGAGTAGTCATACCTGTTGTTTTTTAGCACCGTTGTAAATTCAAACACTGAACAAGTACTTGGTGAACAAGACTTGCCTGTATCTAGCCTCACAGTTGAAAAGTTGCAACAAAGTAGCATTATTAAGGCCATGGGTATAAAACCACAACCAGTTTTATTCTCAATTGTACATATTTCTATATATTAAATCTCTTCAGTTAAATCTCTTCAATATTTAGCTGTACATTTTACATCTCAAGGAAATTAAAGTTGTTTATAAATCTATTAAAGCCAGAAATGTTTCCACCACAAATCATTTTCCACCGGGTGACATAAGACATGTACTACTTTGCCCTTTTTTTATTGGGATTTGTTGTTTACAGAGACACTCCAGGTAATGAAACAGCAGAAGAGACGGCAATCACTCCATGGCTGCTGAAGACAATGAAGAGAGCATCAGACTGAACATTTATTTGAGCCTCTACCTTACAGTGATAAGGATGGCCAAACATTCTTATTTTTTTCACCTTTATCACTAGGTACTCAAGTACTCAGCCATCTCTAGGGTGACACTATCCTGGGGATGGAAAAAAAAAGGGGGGGAGGCAAAACAAAACTGGAGGGACGATCAGGGGGGAAATTAAACTGGACAGGGAAGGAGTGGGGAGGGAGAACACCTCTATTTATTTAGGCATTTTAAAACAGATTATATTCACTAAGCAAACAGCTCCACCAAAACAATGGATCTTTAGATTAATCTTCAAAAATACTCAGCTCTCTGCAGTCATTTGAATATCCCATCTATTTCATATTTTCAACAGCATTCTTTAATTTCTTTAGTAGAATTCTAGATAATCTGCCATCACCATTCACAGGAAATAATGAGGTTTTTTTAAAACCCTGATTTTTCGATCCGATTAATAAGGTAAAAGAAAATATTTACAAGCAGTTGTCTCTCCTTACTAACCATGATTAATATAATGTTATCAGATTTTTACAAGTACTGGAAATCTAACGAAAGCCTAACTTATCTATTCTTCATGTAAGAAATCTGCAGTTGTTAGAGGAAAAAACACTGACAGGCAGCTCCAGTGGGGAAAAAATTGCATTTTGCCAAGTACAATGAGTTTTAAACACCTAATTTATTCAGTTCCCCAAAGTATTTGTACCAACATAATATATCCTTGAATTTCTGACTACCAGTCAGCTAAAACCAATACTGTTAAGATAGATAACTGCCTAGGTAAAAACAGAAATGTAAGCATTTTTACTAGAGATATATTTATAGGTAGATAAGAGAAATTGCACCCAGACTTCACTATTAAGTTAGCAAGAATGAGAAATTTCTACATATATTTTTAAGGGACATGATTGATAAAAGATCTTCTATCTTACTTTGGAAATATAAGTAGACAATGTTAAAGAGTTGGCAATCTAAGGAAAAATAGTGCTGATTAACTCTATTTCTGATTGTAACCTGAAACAAATATATTCAACCCGCCAATTCCAACCTCTCTTTGAAGAAATATTTGTTTGTTTGTTTTTCACATTATTTAATTGCTCATCTCTTCAGGGAGGGACTCTGGAAGGTATTTAATAAAATGTTAAAACTTAAGGACAGTATGTAAAACTTAAAAAAATGGAAAATCTAGAATTCTACCATCAGATAAAAACCAAGAATGTGAATTCTAGTCCTGCCTTAGACATGAAAAGCAGCTTGGTGACTCTGGACCCAGTCACAGTCTTTCAGTCAAACTCATCTCATAGGGTTTTTATTTGGGAAAACAGGAGGACAAAGAAGGATTAAATATGTTTGCTGCCTTGAGTTTTTTATAAAAAAATAATAAAGACAGGATGAACAAATCTAAATATTTTTCATGACAAATCAGAGTAAGAAACCAGGAAACTGTGAGTCTTGTTCCATCTTAGGCCTAAAAGATGGCTGGGTGACTTTGGGACACTTACTCTCTCTCAGCCCAACTCACCTGTTGTCTTTGTGAGAACAATAGAGGAGGAAAGAGTATTAGTTGTGCTGGCTGGCTTGCATTATTTATGAAAATAATAAAAGTAAAAATTTTAAAAATCCCCAAAAAGTTTTTTTCCCAGAGGATTAAATCAAGCTTCTATCAGGTCAGTATAGCTAGCACTACAGAATTCTTCTGTTAGATAATTTTGTTAAAGAAATTTTCTGTCAAATTATACAATAATACATTGATCAAAACTTGATTAATCAAGTCTAAAGCCAACTTGATACTCAGCTAATACTTTCTCTTGGATCATCCAATCTGCAGTTTCACATAAAGATTCAAAAATGTCTGTTTAGATGCCATCAAGCTGGTGTCAACTTTTTAGTGCTACAAAGATAAAACTTGTTCCAGAATGATCTGTCTTCAATCTGTCCTTTAAAATGTATTTAGATTTAAGAGAATTAGTTGCAAATTAGCTGAGTTGTGTTCTTTTTTTCAAGTGTTTGTTTTAAACTCCATTGTTTAAAAATCTATAAAGGCTGATCACTGATAATAATCACTGAGCACTGGCAATAATCAGTCAGGGTTTTATTTTATAATTCTATAGGGATAGAGCCCACCCCAGTATTTATTTCATTAGTGCAGTAGATTTGATAGTGTCTAAACTAGAGACAGGAGATCAATCAGAGAAAGAATCCAAAACTACTGCTGTCATATGCAATTATCTAGCAGCAATGTACAGTATCTCTAAAAATATGATCCATTTCTCTGAAGGGATTAAACTCCGATCTCAGATTTTGGAGCTGAAATGTCAACAAGGTACCAGAAAACAGTGAACTTTTCATCCAATCCACATCAAATTCATCCATGGTTGACCATATCCACATCAATATTGGTTCCCCTCGTTTTTAGTATACTCTTATAGTTGTTTTTTAGCTCAGAATGCACAATATATTCTGAGAATTACATCAAGAGCTTCTACATGCATTAACTAAGCTTTGACCCAAGTGAGAGAATTGGAGAACTTAGCGGTAGATTTCTGACCAGAAGTGACACTAGACATTAAGAGTTCCTACATGTAGAAGTAAATTAGGTAGCGCATACTAAGAGTCAGAAACATTATTTCAATCTCCCATAGATTGTTTAAAATGGGATGTTTTGGGTATGTAAAAGAACTATCAAACTACTCACAATTGCTTCATTTTATTGGAGAGTTCTGAGCATGGGCAGACTCATCCACATATTTGTGGATGTATCTATATGTTGAAGTATTAAAAGTAAATCTTGCAATAAGTGGGAAATGATCACTATCAAGATAGAAAGCTGCTTTAAAATCAGTTCAACTGCTGGGCAATTCATTCGACAATATCAATAGCAGAGCCTTCAGAAATAGCATACAAATAAGGTATCTAAATTGTGAGGAACAATCAATATTCTACCCCTTACTTATGATTCTGTAATATGTATTAAAGCAGAATAACTGAAGCATCCTGATGTCCCTGAAAGGGATGGAGACCTATAAAACAGTATGTTGCCCTGTCCCTGATATTGAGTACAATAGATACTGTTTATGTTTGATGGTAGGTAGAAGCGGGAGAATTTAATGCCTTTGTAGGAATGTAGAATTTAAAGGAATCAGACAATAGCAGAAGCATCTCATAGTATTATAAAGTGTTACATTTACATCTATAAATATAGAATTTATATTGCATTATTTATCATTCCTATATAATAATTCTGTGGGCATGTAATCCTAACCTTGATTAGTTCAGGTGTCTTTTTTATTCTGGGGGCCAAAATCCCAATGATCAGTGAAGTTACTTTGTTGTATTTATTTCCATTCTGATTGTTTAAAGTGGGGATTTTCACAAAAACAAATATTAATCATGCTGTGCCCCTTCTTCCCCAAAAAGTTAGCGATCCTTCTGAATTGTCAAACATTGAGCTGTTTGTTTAAATTTGAAAGGTCAAATTAAAGGTCAGTTTAACCAAACTCCATTCTTCAGTATTAATCTTTGTCCTTGAAATCCAGCAAAGGAAATTGTTTATAGGGCCTAGCAAGACAGATAAATCTCATCTTTTTTATATTGATTTATTGGATACATTATGGGCTATTATTTATTATTTTTATTTTGATCATCACCTGTTAATACATGCATATTTTTAAAAGATTTTTTTCCATATACAACAAAGCAGCAAACATACTTCATGCACCTTCCTCCTCCTATTTCCCCCACAACAACAAGCCTGTGAAATGAATTGAGCTCAGATAGAGTGAGTGGCCCAAAATCATCCACCCAGTTTTTCATGCCTGAGCAGGGACTGGAAGTCAGAGTCTCCTGGTTTCTAGGCCACTTCCTTAACCACTATACAAACCACTAAGGCTCTTTTTTATGTACAACAGATCTTTAGCTTCCAATGTTTACTGAAGTCAAATAACCACTTCACTTAATGCAGAGGGGAATAAATAATAACATTGGTATTGATATAGCAATTTCAATTGTCAAACAAAATGCAGCATTTATCATATGCAATACTTTATTTACTTGTAATGTTCCACCACATAAAATTAACAATGTATTGCAGATGTAGACTGATGCTGAGAAAATACAGCTTTTAATATAAACTACTTAGCTCATGTCACATATTTCTGATCAAAGTTCATGAGAAGAAAAACAACAACCAGTAAGCAGATGGATGGACTGAATTATAATGATTAACAGTTGCTCTATTGCACTGTTTCTCAATCTTAGCCATTTGAAGATATGTGGACTCTAACTCCCAGAAGTCCCCAGCCAGCCATACTCCCAGAAATGTTGGCTGCAGAATTCTGGAAGTTGAAGTCCATACATCTTGAAGCGATCAAGGTTGAGGAACACTGCACTATTGGAAGATCTGAAAGATCAGATCTTGGAAAAAATGTACTTATGTGGTTGCTAAGAGTAGACAAAGTTGATGACAGATAATCTATCCAGTTAAAAAGTATGACAGAAATTAATACAAAAAACTCCCAAATAAATCTCTATTGCATGTGCAAAATTCTGGGACTTTAAACTAATGGTTTTTGAATCATTGGCTAGAAACTGGAAACAAACTGACATTGGGTCCCTTTTGTTTTATCTCCAGGACCCATTGTCGGCAATTCTGCTTGGACAACCATTAATGATCTCATGCATCTGTTATTGGAAAACAGTGTTGACTCATTGGCTGCCAAGTTCTACCCCATTATTTAGATTGCACTCTATCAATTACATCTTCATACAAGTCCTCAAAACCCAAAGATGTGTGAGAAGACAGTATGTTGTGATAAAAAAATAAAGATTAGGATTGCTAAATTCCAGATTCAAATCCACTCTCAGCAGTAAAAATTTCACTGAATTACTTTATGCCCACTCTAACTCATAAGGTTTTGTTCTGAAGAGAAGATAGAAGATGAAATGCTAAGGGTGCCCTTAAACATCAAGAAAAAGGGAGAGATAATTAATCAATAAACAGTATATGGGAACATTCCAGTCAAGTGGAACAGCATCACTAAATTCTCTGCACTCGAGCCAAAGTTACGATCCGAAAAAAACCTAACTTAAAAATGTTCTTCAGTTAAAAGAGGACAGAGGAAACCTTTGTGTAAATGAAGTGCCAATGAGAAATCACAGATGCTCATCTTAAATATCACATGTAATCTCAATAAAATATTTTAGTAATTACACGGTTGATAATATTTGCTACATGAGCAAGTGTAGGCATTGTAGATTTCATTAAGATTTATCCACCTGTTCCTCCAAAATTTAAGCAATCACCTTGTTACATAGAAAAGAAGCATGAGCCACAATCATTTGAGAGCGAACATAAGGCACCTGAACTTTTTTGAATTTACCCATATAGCTAGATAGGGGGATAAATAAACATAGGTATATATTTTATATATGAATCTTCTGCATTTTATTTCTCATGCAGTATATTTTATAACAAATGATAATTGATATTCTAAAGCAGTTAAAAGTTTTCTTAAATTTTTGTTTATAAGTTGCCATATTATATATATTGTCATTATCAGTTAAATTTTAAAATCAAGGTTTTCATTCAGTTGAGGAAAAACAGTTTTAATTATTGTACTGAGAAGCTTTTACACACAGTTTTTCTTTTCATTTGAAATGAGGGTGTGTGTCAAATTGGTTTATCTGTTGCCCTAACAGCAAAGAGATTTATAGAGAACACATCATAAAAAATAATTTGAAAAAAGATGTCTAGATAAATTATTTAAATATACATACTGTTTTAGTACTATGCAACACATATGTTTAATAGAAACTAACAGACATGCAAAATTCCATATTTAGAAAAGACAAAATCTTAATTACATATCTTTTAAATTATAAAACTGGTAAGTTATATCATCAGCTGTGGTCTCCCAGTCTTATCCAACTGTCTCTGGAAAGCAAGTTTAGAAGATCTAACAAATTTGGATATTGAAGCTCAGAGAAATAAAGCCACCCACAATAAGGCTGGCACATTGAAATGGATAAACAACCTTCCAAATTGCTAAATATTTAAACACAAAAATGCCCAAACCTTAGGAGAGCAGTTATTCAAACAATATTTGAGCAGCTGGACAGAGTAAATATAGAAGGTTTAGCCAAATCCTTATGATGGACATACTTTTATTAGCACAGCCCCAGAGATAGAGGAATATAACATATATGTTACCTTAGTGTCAATTATATAAAGAGAGAGATCGGTGTCATGGAATAGATGAATGGCCTATTGTCACCCCTATATTATGTCATTTTAATGTACAGTATATGTCATTTGATGTGTGGTCAGAATCCCAAAATTATATACAGTATAACCCTTTATTTGAACAAAACAATAGAATGTGTGGAATTTGATTGGAATAAATTATAGGAGTGATATACAACTATGATGTGAATTTTATTTTACTTCTTTTACTGTACCATGTGGTGGTGGTTGTATTATTATTATTATTGTTGTTGTTGTTGTTATGTATTTTACATTTTGTATTCTGGTCTGGCCTAGTGGTTAATTGATAAAGTATTATTACACATGTTTAACAATACAATACCTTTTATAAAATTATGTCTTAAAAACTTACTTGGGTTGTAGTTGTTGTCTGTATTTTTCTTATTTCCTTCCCTGCTTCTTTTCCATCATCAGACCTTTCTGTATCTGATATAATGCTCCCTCCATCCACATTTGATACAGTTTTCCCAGAGGACTCAGTTTCAAGCGTTGTAGCTGCCATTTCAGTATATTCTAATCCTTTAGAAGATGAAGCCAAGTCTCTTTCAGATAGTGAATCAATTGTATCAACAGAAGTATGAATTTTAAATTCCTTGTCTTCTATTATGTTTGAGCCACATGCTATATCAGTACTGCTAGACATATGAGAAAGAAGCCCAAGGTCATTATTCACACCAAGATGAATTTGAGTCTCTTGAATATTGGCAATAGTGATATGATTGCTAGACAGTTCAGGGAGCAGCTTCTCTTCTTGGCTAGATATTTTATCAAAGAGAAATGAGGTGCTGTTATGAGAAGGTTCGTCTTTATCATCAGCAAGTGTAATTAAAGGACCGTTGTCCTTTTCTTCACTTTTCTTAATTATGCCAACACTCCCATGAACATTGTTCTGAAGTTTTTCAACTGCAGCACTATATACATTGTCTAATAAAGATTCTACTTCCACAAGGGTACCATTTTCTCTGGTTACCAAAGTCTCTGGTGACAGATCCATATCATCCAACTTTACTTCTGTGGCTTCCACCTTTTCTGCTTTTATATCAACTAACAGATCATGAACCTCTACATGTACACCACTCCCGGGTCTATCTGCACTTCCAAGCACATCATCGCATACTTTTGTTGCTATGAGTAAATCTCTGGTATCGGTGCTGACTGGATAGTCTGTTTCACTTTCTGGACTTTGGCTTTGTGAAAGATCTTCAATTTCACGAATTTCCATTGCACCTTTTGCTCCAGTTGTCTGAGCTGAAAGGCCTGAGATAGTGCTCACATTCCCTTTTTTCCCCTTCTTGATATTCTCTTCTTCCTGTCTTTGGTATTCCTCATACATTTTTGCTAGGTACTCCTTGTGAGCTTCATAGGTAACCTTAACGCAAGGAAAACATAAAGTCAGAAAAAAATAGTAATGCTAATTCAATGTCAGAAAAAAGTAAAACAGCAATTTAACCAAATTAATAATGTTACTGAAAAAGTAATAATTCAGAAACAATTACAACATGCCATTTTGCATGGTGACCACAAGATGGTACTACAATTTATCTATGTCATAATATGAACCAAATATGGGAATCTTACCTTTGAATGGGCTATGGAAAGTGTATCAACCCAGACTCTCCATCCTCCCCATTCATATTTTATTGCATGATATAAAAGAATACGAAAGATGTTATACACCATCTCAGTAATTTTCTGTTCTTCAGAGTTCTTGGGATTAATATATCCCAAAGAAAACATCCAATCTTGCCATACTGAACACTGAAGTAAGCACCTAAAATAAAATAGTTACAGTAAGATTCCACAGCACTTGAACTGTTTAATTATACATACAGATAAGAAAAACAGAGGCTTCCATTCTAAATGTTAATTAAAAAAAGTGTTTTGAGAAAATAAACCTCATTTGTAATAATGTAAACAATATATATTCATTACACCTTCAGAAATAGAAGAAAACAATGTTTAAAACTATGTTAAAATATTAACCCCCAGTAATGGAATCAGGATTCAGAATATTAGATGAAAAGAGACCTTTAACTTAACAGCAATTAATGTAGGCTTTCTATTTTTAACTTTATTTTTCACATCAAGAAAACAGGAAATGATACATTAAGAAAAATTATTCAGGAATAAATAAATAAAAGTGTGAAGAAGGACAATTTAGTAAAAATCTGTGCCCAGATGGGCAATTTGGAGATATAGTTATAACATCCTTAGAAGCAATATCTCTAAATGGTAGATCAAATATATATTTTTAAGAGTATTCAAAATCAAACACATCCAGATGATGCAAAGTTTAGGAAGGTAGCTGTAGGCACTGGCATCAAAAGCACTACTCACATACATTGCATATGCTGGGCCTCAGCATGAATGAAACCCCAGGGGACCTTGTGAAGGGGTACCCTGACTACTTTACCTTATGATGCAAAACAGAAACAAATAAATGAAATTTATTTTCCTCCTAATATGTATATGAATATGTGAGGATAATCACACAATACATTTTCTTATTTTGTAGTGTTTGCATAAGAACGGCTGCATAACTGAATGAGACAATTCTTTACATACCTTCTATTTTCACGGCTATTACTGAAAAGCTTGATCATATCTGATAAAAATAAACGCCGAACCTCCATGAGTTCTGTACTTGGTGCAGAATTCTTTAATAATGTGGCCACCACTTTCAGAATCACTTTAAAAGAGCAAATATATAATGTGCTTACACTTATTTTAATCACTGAAACACTGCAAACACCATCTGTTATAATTTTATTAACAGTGATTTTTAAATTTTTTTAAAAAAGACCTCATTTAAAGGAAAGAAGTAGAAAAAACTACAGTATATCAAGTATAATTAATTTATTTTATGTCCAATTCACAGGGCAACAAACAATATCACAATAATTAAAATCATAAAAACACAGAAACAATTATAAAGTATACATATAGGCAACTGAAAAATATTATTAATAAATACACAAACATTAACAGTGCAATCAGGTAACAGGGCCCGTAACACATTCACGATCTCAGGCTTGGGCACATAGCCATAGAACTTTTAAATGCTTATGAAAATATAATAGGGTCGGGCCATCCTCAGCTACAAAGATGCTCTCCATCCAACATCCCTTGCTTGATGGGACCTGTAGCATCTGTAATCAGCTAAACCAAACTGGATGGATAGAAACTATTAGGAGAAGATGGTGTCTTAGGTAACCTGGTCCAAAGCTATGTAGGGCTTTCAATATGACAATCAACATCTTGAATTGCACCTGGAAAAACATGGCAATCAATGCAACTCCCACAGTAATGATGTTACATGTGCCATATAACTAGCATCATAAACTACCCACGCAGCTGTTTTTTGCACCAATTGATCTTTCTGAATGTCCTTCAAGGGCAAGCCGCATGTAGAGCATGTTGCAGTAATCCTAACAATTGGTAACATAGCATGAGTGACTATAAGCAAAGCCACCTGGTCCAGGAATGGACACAAATGGCACAGAAACTCTCCTAGCCATGGCTGCTACCTGCTCTTCAAGCAGGATATGCGAACTTAAGAGAATCGCGAGACTGTACACTAGGGCAATGTTTCCCCATTCAGTACCAAAGATAGAAGAACTTTGTTTCCAGATGGACAAAATACTCAAAGCCGCTCCATTTGTTTGGATTGTGTCAGAGCCTATTGTGCCCCATCCAGTATCATATAACCTCCAGACCCTTCTTTACTTTGACTTATATCAGTCACAGTTCAAAGTTCATAGAAATCTCTGCATCGTGTGTTAGTTAATCCTTTCCTTCCATCATTTGTCCACCTCTGAATAAAAGGCAATATTGCACAGTATCAGAATATATCAATAAAAGGAAGAATCTTCTTCTTGTCTGTGTAATCTTGCTCTTTTTTGTGCTTTCGCAAACCTCTTGAAAAAGTTTACATGAGATGAAGAGATACAGTAAACAAAAACAAACAAATGAGAAATCCTCAGCTACCGTACAAAAGTTTCCTGCTTTTGCCAAAAAAAGAAAAGCAGGGTTATGGTAGCTCTGCTTCTTTTGTATATAGGTTGTAATGTCACAACACATATACCAAAGAAGCAGGGCTTTCATTGTGACACTGCTATTCTTCTTTCTGCTCCCCCTTGCCCTCTCTCCACCCAGGAATGCCAATGCAGATTAGTTTCCATTTTACATTCAATCAACAGTCATTCTCGAGCCAAAAAAATACTTTATAGTATGATAGAACCTGTGAATTGGCAATACTGTGGTATTCATTTGAGCTGGTAAAAAGTTTGAAATTTATGACAATCATTTCTCAAAATTAAAAAAGATAAGTTCTTACTTGGATTTTGAATTTTCACAGTAGAATCTGGTTCTGGATGTGGTTTATGAACAACTTGTGTGCATACTTGTTCAGTCAAAATCTATAACAGAAAAATTATTCCATTCACTCCAATCTTGGGTTTTCCCCCCCAAAAAAATTATCGAAATAGCAATAGCAGTTACAGCCCTCTCTAAGCGGTTTACAAAGTCGCCATATTGCCTCCAACAATTTGGGTCCACAGTTTACCCACCTCAGAAGGATGGAAGGCTGAGTCAACCTTCAGCCGAGTTAGATTTGAACTGCCAAATTGCAGTCAGCCAGCAGGCAGTCAGCAGAAGTAGCCTGCAGTACTGCACTCTAACCACTATACCACCACAGCTCATCCCAAAGATACTGTCTTCAGTACTGCATGTCATATACTGATAGTCTTATCCATTATCTCATATTTAAAGTAAAGTTACAATTCATTAATTATATTCCCACTCCTTTTTTTTGTCCCATTTTATCTCCCCAGTAAATGATACATGCATGCATAAATTGCACAAATATGTATTTTAACATATTTTCCTCCCAACTCATACAATTCTTAACTTTTTATTATTATTTCAAATTATGCCCCATCTTTGTTAGCCTTGCAAAAAAAATTCTCTCAGAACATACATTTTAAAATGGATTCTAAAACATAACCATATTTTAATTGCTTGTACCCATTTAGCAGGTACAACTGAATTGTTCTACCATCTTTATTAAATTCAGGCTATTATGAATTTAAGCAAGAAGTAGTGCAACCCTTCTGTTTTGGACTTGGAAAAACCATTCTAAGTATTCTAGAAATGGTCTGAAATGGGCCAGGATAACCTCAGAAAAAGTTATTTCATATATGCCAGAATTGGTTCAACATAGCCAATCCTAGGGTTGGTCTACTTTCACAAGACTCAGAATGGCTCCAAAACTGAGATATCTATGTTGCTTCTTTCAGGATTGAAACGTTCAAAAGGCATCCTAGTCATTATATTTATAAAACAAAATCACAGAATAATAAGGAATAGTCCATTACTTTAAAAATGTTACACACTGAAAACAGACACAGAGAAAAGGTTTTATTTCTGCCACACTGTAATATTAATGTAAATTAATGATTAATAGAAATAAACAAACATTTAAATGGTGAAAATCAACAGATTGAATCTACTAATTAATGAAAAAACCTTTTAAAACAATATTCTCACAAAGGGTATTTTAATAAAGAGATTAACATAATATACCTCATACAGTGTGTTGTACGTTGTAATCGTCAAAGTATTGGTATGTAACATCAACCTCTCTCCAAGAAGAGTAAACAGACTATGTGTATGCATGATTTCAACTTTTCGCCTGAAGGACAAAAGTATGGAATGCACAAAAATTTAAGCAGATTTCTGTGACCAAAGATAATAATTAATATTCTGAAGCATCTTTCAATCTTGTGAGATTCCAATTACACATGATACAGTATATTTTATGCATATTTTTAACATATATATTGAAATGATATATTTTTTCATAACTACACAAATTATTTAAGAATCTGACTATCCACTACACAATTTTAGTACATAAATTGTTAGATCACAGCTACTGAAATATTTTGAATAAAAAAAATTGTGATCACATCTTTTGGAAATAAATGAAATAAATAGGACTCATAAAATAATAATTTATTTATTTTTTATTAATTAAATTTTTATGCCAATCCATCTCACTGATAGAGAGACTCTTGGTGACTTACAATATAATAAAAAGGTTTTAAAAAGGCAATACAAAACAATTAAAGAGAATTAGGTAGAAATCTAAAAGTAAAAGGATGAGCAACATGGGGGTGGGGCTCTTGTCTCTACCCTGTTAACCTTAGTCAAATTACTAACTAAGAAGAAATAAATATTCTAGTTTGGAGAAACTAGGTATAATAATTTAATAATGCTCATTGAAAGCAATGGGACAAATTAAGCATAACAATCCTGATTTCAATGGATACCTCAAAGTATGAACAAATCTAGCTCCAGTTTTCTGCAATCTGTTTAATAAGCAAAAAGGAAAAAATAAAAAGGCAATTATGTAACTAAACAAGTAAGAGGGTTTGAAATATCATATTAGAAACTGGAACACATTACTTACTTATGACCCAGATGTTTGAGAAAATATCCTAGCACCTTCAGAGCCTGAACCCAAATACTTTCACTTTTTGAAGCTAATAGTTTATAAATTACCCTGTGAAGGGAAGAAATATAAGAGAGTGTAAGCAAACCTCCTTAAAATGGTAAAACAAAATCAAGCTACTCTGCTTGTTCTGCTCATATTCAAAGTGCTGCTTTTGTCGTATGTATGCTTTAAATTTGTGGAATATCTGCATCTCTGTCTGCTAATTCCAAACCATTTAATATTTACATGAAATTACCAAGTGAAATAATTGGAGGCTACATTATTTTCCAACTAATAATGGATGCAACTATTCCCCTTTTTATCTGAAACAGATGACGTACTAGTAGACTAGTGCCTGGACACAGTAATATGGGCAATATGGAGCCTTTGGACACCAATATGACCTGAATATGCACTTTTACCGCAAGTTCACATAGAAGCCTGAAAATGGCTGTCTGCTTCAGTGCATCACAAAGAGTGGCAGGGTTCACACTAGGATGAAGTCTGAAACAGTTTTTCCAAATTGTTTTCAAAATATATACAATCACTGCTTTGAAGTCACATGAGTTCCAGAGAAATATATAACAGAAAAGGGACATATGAATGACCAAATAGATGACACAGAGATAGACTAGAGGTGGTGCAAGGAACTCAGATGATCTCAATTGGCAATTTTAAGTCGATAATAAATTGATATTTTATGATTGACCATAACCAAGCATTCATTTTGTGCATAGGCAAACTGCTTACCCATAAGCAACTTAAAACATCTCTCAAGATTATAAATATGCCCATCTGTTTTATTTCTATACCAGCAAGTGGTATGATGTTCAGTCTTGTCAAGGCAAAGCTATTATAACAGAGGATTGTCAAGATAACTGCAGATCACAGAATTCTTCTAAAACTGGTTCATTATCCCCCAAACTGGGAAATGTGTTTTAGGGCAACCCTTTTCTACATCCCAAATCTGTACTGTTTGTTAAAACAAGCGGGATAAAGAAGATAACTTTATTTGAATTTACATAAGTTTGTATTAGTATGTGATACAAAAATTCCATAGAACACAACCTACAATACATGCATGGAAAAATGCATTAATCCTATATGGTTGATTTATTTGAGTTTTTAAAGCCTGCTTGTATTACTTTAAACTCCTCCTATTCTCCCGACATGAACAGGCCTGAGAAGTGGATTGGGCTGAGTGAGAGACCCAAAGTCACTCAGCTGACTTTCATGTCTAAGGCGGGACTACAACACATAGTCTCTTCTTTGAGGGTGACCAATCCATCTTTATGATTTGTTCATATAGAGAAAATGAACAAGGACCAAATTGCAAAATAAATATATAATGAAAAATTAATGGGTTGTGATGGTGAAGTATGAGAAAGCCATGGATGGTTTAATGAACAAAAACAATGTATAAAGCAATGTGTAGATACAAATGGAGGAAGAAAGTTCTACATGGTTTGTATGGTAGAAAGGAAGGCTGAACTGCAGCAAGTCTTGGTGATATAATCCAGGTTTATCACTTTCCTTTTTTTTTTTTTGACTGACTACTTTTTATTCTTGTCTTGTGCTTTGCATAATGTTGCTTAGTCCTAAGGGCAATAGTATGATGAACATGTATGTATCAATATTGTATTCTTAATTTAAAAAAAATCTGCATTCTACAAGATCTAGCTAGTTCAACATCTATCTAAATACTAATTTCTATAGTATGTTTGTAATTTGTATACCATATTTGATTCATTAAAAAAAGAAAATTCAGAGACATTGGGAGTAAGGCAGTGAATTTAATACTCTGTTGTTGTTTTTGTTGTTATGATTTTTTAAAAATTTGAAATACATAAGCAGGTATGTTAAATATTCTGATCATTGAAATGATCAGAATATTTAACATACATAACCTTTAACATAACTTTTTTTTGAAAAAGTTGACTTTGCAATTTATGTCAAAAACAAGGGATTGTTTTTGTTTAAATACTGACCTCTCTTTCAATTTTGAATTGTATTTTCAATCTATTATAGCAACGTTAAATGCCAACATCCCCTCCCTTGTTCATAAGCATACTGTCATTGTCCGATTTATTCATCTACTAGAAAATGAGAGTTATGGAAATATTGTTTGTACTTAATCTTACCGTATTCCATTTCTTTGATCAAAGGCAGGTATCATAGATGCTGGATGTTCAGACATTAAAGCCACTAGCAACTGAAGCACATCATGAATATTTTCATCCTATGTAACACATTATAATGTTAGAGAAATATTTATTTTATGAACTTTTTAAATTAATATTTCATTATGTGTAAGGATTTATATTCAGGTTCTCAGCTTGAAAGATCCCAGAAAATCAATATCATATATTACCAGCTTACCTCATGCATAGTTAGTAAGTAATTCAATATACTTTGTAGTTCATCTTCTTTTACTCCTCGATCCTACAGAAATTGATTTAATAAACCATTAAATTTTACATTTAAAATTTTTCAGTGTTTACATTTTAATAACTTAACTGTCATATTATAAACATTAAAATGAAAAGTTTTTTAGTACAAGATTGGTAACCAAGTGCCTGAATTATAATCACTGACTAAGATGGTATTGATTTTAAGAATGTAAACAAAAAACAATTTGAGTAAGAATATCAGCCCCTAAGATATACAGCTCCTGTTTAATAGCAGAATGAAGCTTCCAGATTTTTAATAAAAATTATACTAGGCACAAGTTTTATATATTTGCTTTCTTTACAATCAAATAATTTGATGTAGGTTCCAGAGAAGTTAAAAATTAACTAAACTGCATTCTTCTACTATTTTCCTTTCAGATTCTTTGTAATTATGATATCTTTTCGGGCTAATGGTGTTTTTGTGGCCAAATGGTTTGTTAAAGGTTTTGGGGGCATATGAAAACAGTTGCAATTAAGCAGACAGCATCTATGGGATCTAACTTTATAGTGTTGTTTTGCCCACAGTCAAGAGTTTACTTCATTTTTAAGAGTATGAAATTAAGCCTACTAATTGCACAATATAAAACTATGTAATTGTTAAAGTTACATATAACAAAAAGGCAGGGCTATTTCATTGCTTGACTGCTTCAAATCACTTTATGTGAATTTCAGTTGACTACACATTTTACCCAAACAAAACATACATTCAACACTACTATGATATGCTTATCAGGAAAGAAATATTTAAGATTTTGGAATGACTTTCACACCCCCAGATTTAAATATTGTTGAAAATTTATAGCATGCTGTGCATGCAATGAACCCTAAAAAGAATTATGTAGGTTGGAATACTTCTGCAAGAAAAAGTATGGGAAAAATGTCCAAAAGAACTAACATAAATATTCTTAGCTGGTTACAGGAAATGTTTATTTCTGCGAAAGGAAGTGTCACAAAATATTGACTGGACGAACATCTAAACTTTTGTATATGCTACATTTGTTATTTTCCTGTTTTGAATCTGAAAACAACATAAATACTAAATATGTGCTCAAATGTATACATTTTATATTATATAGAGCTATGTAAGTTATGTTCACTTAGAAATTGGTGGAAAGATACAATTTGACTGGAACACCTAAGCTTTGACATTCATTAGCAGATTTTTAAATTATTTTTTCCCCTTCTACAACACCTTACAGTTATTATATCAACATTGTTATGTCATCATACCTGTACATGTATATAATATTTCGCTTCTATATTTACACAGTTCTATATATATTTATATATATTGTTTTTTGGCTTAATTAATTTTATTCTTTTATTTATTTTCATATGTTTTTTTTCATGAATATTTTTTATTTCCATTTTCATTTTTATAACACACACTCACATGTATACTATATATAGCCCGTATCATA